GGATGTTATCAGGAAACCTGTTAAGAGCCTGGATTTTCAAAATAACCCCCCCCCAATAGTAACAGGATGATACCAGGAAACGTGTAATGAGCCTAGATTTTCAAAATAAGTTCCCCCCATAGTAACAGGATGTTATCAGGAAACCTTTCAAGAGCCTGGATTTTCAAAATAAGCCCCCTCCCATAGTAACAGGATGATACCAGGAAACCTGTAAGGAGCCTGGATTTTCAAAATAAGCCCCCTCCCATAGTAACAGGATGTTATCAGGAAACCTGTAAAGAGCCTGGATTTTCAAAATAAGCCCCCTCCCACAGTAACAGGATGACACCAGGAAACCTGTGAGGAGCCTGGATTTTCAAAATAAGCCCCCTCCCATAGTAACAGGATGTTATCAGGATACCTGTAAGGAGCCTGGATTTTCAAAATAAGCCCCCCCCCCCCAATAGTAAGAGGATGTTATCAGGAAACCTGTAAAGAGCCTGGATTTTCAAAGTAAGCCCTGCAAGATTTCCTGTGTCACAACAGAGAGGGCACTGAAAGACCCACACAAACAACACAGCAGTCTGCCATCCAGAGGAAGCCCTGCCTCCACTTCTCATCCCTTCCCCTTCGTCTTCCCCTCCTCTCACCGCATTTGCTTCTGTCCATGGAGCCTCCCCTGAGTCTATTCTGCCTTCACCTCTACATCACTACCACCGCTCAATATCCAGCCAGGGCAACAGAGAGCCGGGGTAATGAAATGGCCACTGGCTGCCTGAATCTACCTACCGCCATCCGTCATCTGATTATGAGGAGGTATCCTCCTCATTGGGCCTCTCTAGATAGCCAAAATTCAATCTGGTCTAATAATGGCCCTGTAGTTCTCTTTAGGGGTAGTGTCTATACGGGTTATTTTTCTGTAGAAGATGATCTAAAAGAACTTCAAACGGAACGAAACAGGAAGGAAGAGGAGAGCGTCTGTTTTCAATATTATTATGTTTACGTTCCCAGGACGATTATCTAATCTGCTCAAAGGGAGAACAAAGCTTGTAGAGCTTTGTCATGCTTTCGCACTTCTAGCTTTCCACTGTGTAGGTTGTCTCGCCCACTTTTGATTAATAATAGGATTGAGCATAAAGATCTGGCTTGGAACCTGTGTGAAGAGACAGGCATTGAGCTTTGTTTGACTTGTGTAAATGTTAAAATATCCACTCCAACATAGTGACTCAGTGGTAGAAATGATCTCATCTTTTTTAGCATACCAATTTTGGTATATTCTCCTGCCAGTTTCTTAAATTCTTATCATTGGGCATATTGGTGTATTAAGGATTTCTATATTTAGTAAATTGTGTTTTGATGCCAGACCCTCAGTTTGATTTGACAAGGTTGTAACTGAAAGCATTGAAAGACCATAAAGAGCTTTGTTTAGTATCTCAGTTATGGCAGTTTGTCACATGATGGTTGCTGTTAACTCTAAGAGCCTGTGACATGCTCTTTTTACTCTGTCTTTCTGGGCTCCATATTACTCACCAGCAGTCAAGAAGTATAATCCATCACCACAAGTAAAATGGCATGGTAAAAAAAAAAAAAGAGTGAAAAAATAGAATTAATAAAGTATTTCTTCTCTTCTTCTTCTTCTTCTTCTTCTTACCTCACATGCCTCACAAGGTGTTACGGGGGTTCATAGATGCAGGTATTTGTGGGAAAAGCTTCAAGATCACTTCTGATCATCCAATCCGATTAAAATGGGATGGTTGTACAGTAAAGGCCCTGGGTCAGCAAACAGAAAGCGCTTCAGTTGCATAAAGAGGATGACAATTATCTCAAGAGCCAACATCACAACAACTCTGCAGTAGCATAGCCATTCAGCCGAATACTCCTGAATTTAGGGGCCATTAAAAACACAATTGAGCCGAGCAGGGGCGTAAGAGTGCAAGAAAATTTAAGAGAAAAAACAAGAGAAGAAGAAAAAAATTATCTGGGATTAAAGTCACAAATTTATGGCACAGTTGGTTGGAACACAATCTGGAGATGCAAGGATGTTGGTTACTTCTACAGGCAATTCAAATTGAATTTGTAGTGTTCTTTGAGTGACCATTATTTTCCTGAAGGGGGTTGGGCGGTCGTCCTCTCACCAGAAGGTCGATCCCAGTGTTCTCCATCTGCCTGCCGAAGTGTCCTAGGGCAAGACACTGAACCCCAAATTGCCCCTCATAGAAAAAAAAAGTGCTGCCCACAGATGCACTGTATGATTGTGTGTGTAAATGGGTGAATGGAAAAACTGTAAAAGCACTTTGAGTGGTCATCAAGACTAGCCTGTTTGACACCATATCTGCCTTCTTTCACATATGTCCACTGGTCTCCGGTATCATTTAGCCTCCTGCCTGCTCAGTCATCCACTCCTGCTCACAACTCCACCTCCCTCTTTGCTCTATGCCTCGATCTGCCAACAAATCTCCACCTTATTACTTTTAGCTGTGTTCTGCATTCCCCCATTCAAACAAAATCACTTACTGCTAAATCCTATTCCAAAGAATACTAATCTGATTGGATCATGCTGGTTCCATGCCAAATTTAAACACAAATTTAGTTTTATTTTAGTAAATTTCTGACTCTTTATTTTGTTTTTTAGTCTTAGTGAATATTTCACTTATAGGCAGACTGTGGTCTGGATCTGAACCCTGATACATTTCTATCCAAACACTAACTTCCATGGTAAATCATTCAGAAATGTAAAATGTTTGATTCTATTTAACTGGAGCAGCTTTTTTAGCCTTTACGGCTTATGTGACACCGCGGAAGAGCAGTCGTCCTCCAACCAGAAGGGTGGTGGTTCGATCCCAGTCTTCCCATCTGCATGCTGAAGTGTCTTTGGGCAAGATGCTGAACCCCAAATGGCCCAACAGACTGTAAAGTACTGTAAAGTCTCATATATCCCAAGACTGTGGTGATTGTGCAGTAAGCTGAAATAACACAACACCATTCCAGACCGGAGTTCAAATCCTGACAGGCCAAGCTCACTTCTTTCACTGAACAAGAAAAGGGGGAAAGATTAAAAAAAAAGAGGTGTTGAAGCTGATCAGTTGTTAAGATGTGTTGACATTTCATGAGACCTGGGACTCTGCCTCATGCAAGCTAAACCAAATGGTTAGAAGATTAGTTGAAACTACTGAATAAACAAAAGAAAATAAAGTGAAACAATGGACAGTTTATTTTTATTTTTTTCTAAAAGCATTTTTAAGATGCACATTTTAAAAAATATATTGTAGGGAGATTTCTCGTTCTCTTGATGTGCGTTTATTAACAAACTTTTTCTGGCTACAGAGAACTTCCGCTTTTAACCCCTCCCATTGCCCTTGTTACCATGGTAATCCCACAGCTCCTAGGAGTGAATTATATGCAAACCACATAGTGCAAATCAAATACAGTGTAAACCTCATCAACTGTCTGGTGAATTCTGTCTATCACCTGTGTATGTATTTTACTTTTTACTTGACATAAGAATGAGCATTTGTTTTTAACTACTTATTTATAGTTCATCCAGTTCAATGGGAAAACCCACAACAAATATCGTTAAAATATGATTGCATTATACTTTCTTTGATTTTACAGTCAGTTGTTGACTAGACATCGCTAGATCTAATATTTCATTATATATTGCACTAAATCATAACTCCAGTATCAGATTGCATCTTTGGAACAATAAATGACCTCCTGTCATTGTGATTGATCTGCACAAAAATATTCCAGTGCTTAATTTAGCATGTTTATTATATATATTTATTTTTTTATTTTTTCATATTTTGTATACTGTGGAACAAAATAAAAGTGTTATAGTCTTTGTCATCAGAGAAACATTTTCCACCAATTATGAACCCATTTTCCTCACATTTATCATTATACTGTTACATTTTGTCAGCAGTGCTCTGCTCTTTGAGGGAACCCTGAAACCATCCAAGCAGCTACAAGCATTCTGCTGGAGCCCCAGTGTAACCATACACAGATTATGTTCCATTTAAATCAACAATAGCGAGAATATAGCGCATTAGGACTGGAAGTTAGTGCTTAATTGGCAGCCAGTAAAACATGATACAGCAGATGCCAATCAGAAAATGTAAACTCGGATGCCAACACCTTCAAGGCTCTGCTTTGTGATCATAAGATCTGTTCAGACAGAAATCAAGGCTAATTCTTACCTCATAAGAATGTCTCCTTTGGTCGCCTCAGATACACAAATGTACAAACTGTGAAGATATCAGCTATAGTTTGCTTGCAGTGAACAATTTGCGGAGTGTGTCTGCTCACCAGTTGACGTTTTTATTATCTCCCAGTCTCTCTTCCTTCCCTCTCATCGCTATGTATTTATAAAGTGGAGTTGTAAAGCCCTGAAGTACATGATAGATAGATAATGAAGGCTCCATGTCATTTTGGATCTTAGCATAACATCATAATTAGTAAATAGTGTTTGCTGGGAGCTCTTTTAATGACAGGCTGACGTACCAATCACTTCTTCCAGCTATCATCCTGTGTCTAGTTGTATATTATTTTGTAACATTCCAATTCAATTTCTTCATCTATGACACAAGATTTTAATGCATCTCTTTTTCTCTGAACACCTATCCGCCCCTCCCCAGCAGCGAGCCCCAGTTGTGGCCGGTGGGCATGGTTTTGGAGGGCAGCTCAGAGGCGCTGTGTCCCCCCCCATCTCTGGAGCTGCGCCCATCCTGCAACAAGAGCCAGTCCTCGCCTCCTCTGAGCACAAGCTCACAACCCCACGACGGAGTCTTCCCTGAGGACAAGGAGCCCGTCAAGTACGGCGAGCTCATCGTCTTAGGGTGAGTTACTGAAGTTTGTCTGCTGCTGTATATTGTCTGTATATCTACACATAACGTGTTTGTGAAATGAATGAGTAAGTGCCATCATAAGAATTTGTTCTTAATGACTTGCCTGGTAAATAAAGTTTAGAATCTAAGTCTAAATATAAAATTAAAGAAAGCCAACTCAGGACCTCATTTAAGCTGAGTCAAAATTATGTTCCATCTGTTTAGGAAGGGTTCAATTACATTTCTGAGTGTTTGTCCCTGGCTTCCTTTTTTTTTTGTGAACTCTACTGAGGTGCCGTAAATATAGGTCCTCGTGCATCCACTTTATTTCTAGTACCTGAGTGTGTGAGTGTGTCCCAACGAATCTATTCCTTTTCAAAATTAGAAATCCAAGTAGTCTATGCTAGTGACTATAGCCAAACAGTTCATATTCAAGGTCGGTCATGGCCCAACAGCCTAATAATTAAGTTTGCAGAGCAGATTACCTACCTCATCGTGCTCTAATTTAATCTTTACCAGCTGCTAAATCTGCTCACCCCAACCAAACAAGGCAGATGGTTTCTTCCAGTTAAGAGGGGTTTTTTCTGTCGGGTTTCTCCATCATTTTGTAAGGTCTCCACTCTACTATTTCCAGTCTCACTACCTTGAGAGGTGTATGTTGTGATTTGGTGCTATACAAGTAATATCGAATTGATCAGATTCAGGGATGTATGCTCCACTAGCTGCATTATCCCAAAAAACCCTCCTTGGCTTGGACAAGCTGAGGACAGGTCAGGTGAAGGACTATTCCCAATCATTTGTAAAATACCATACAGATGACATTTATCTAAGTCAGTTAGTTAGAGGGAAAAAGGCTCATTTGACTCAACACAGAAAACACTAAGCCACAGTGGCAAATTCAAACCTTAAACTCCATGAGGAACAACCAGAGGACAGAAAAAATGGCCATGTGATAGATTGCATACAGTACATGTGTGAGAGAAGGATATGTCTCCCACTGGGATGCTGTGGTGCTATTCCAGGCAGAGACACAGACACCTGCTTCCTCTCCTCCACCTATTGATCCATGCACTAATGGATGACGAGAATGGTTTGGTTGTTCAGACCTGCATTATCATGCAGCTCAGGTTAAGTGATCACAAGCGGACAGCTCTGAGTACATCGGTTCATATCTAGCATCAGAATGTGTCTCCACACACATCATCTTTATTTGTGAATGGATCTCACTTACATGCATTATATGCCTATATTAAGACTATAGTAAACCAACTACATTGTTGATTTTAGCAAGCCTGACAAACAGGAGGTTATTAACATATATCTCATGTGATCTAATCACGGGTGGACACACCTGGACACATTGAGGACACATTTGAAATCCGATCTCTCAGCCCCTCTCAGTGCTCTGGGACACATGTGGCCACATTCTTTTCACAATATGATGGTAAATGTGTCCTGGGCCAAACTGAACGATCCCTTTACTCAGTTGACATCCTCTGATCCACCACAATTTCATTATGAACCCATGTATTTTTACACTTCTCAGTGTTTGACATATATCAATTGAACTGAACTGAAGTGTGACACATTGAGAGTTGTACACAGTGGTTTGATCACTCTAGACCAGGTCTTAAAAGGTTCATGGTTTCAGGCAGGCCCAACCTACTATGTAAGTAATTGAAGTGTTTTTATTCTGTGTCATTCTCCAACTTAGAAATGCCTTTTTCTTTCTGTCATCACATCTTTTGATTTCATTTCATTTCATTTTTACTGGACCGTTACTACATCTGTCCAAAACCACCACAACAAAATAAATGCTTTCTGATTTATTCCATAGTGTTACATGTAAATTGAGATTTGAAATGCTTGTCAATACTTAGCAATGTTGCCTCGCTAACTTGTCAATATGAGTTATACTTTTTCAACATCATTGACAGTTGAAGAGTTTTATAAAAGCACTCCATGCATCTGCCAAAGAGAAATGGTTGTATTGTGGGAGATTTTCTGGAGTAAAAAAGAATCAGTGCCAAACGTTTGTTTCTATGGCTGAGGTTTTGAGGCTACTATAAAATGAATTTACACATACAACTGAAATAAGGGGAAGTCAGTTTGGCTATGACTTACTGATAACAGTGGTTCAACATACACTGAGAGAGGACAGCTGTATTATTTGTTGTCTAAAAATCTAGGAGACCCAAATGGCAAAGTACAATTAAGTGAAATCTATGAATGACTGTGAATGAATGACACTTCTGGATGTTAAATTAAGTCGATTTTATTCGTGTGCTTCACAGGCATAATGGTTCACTGGCCAATGGAGACAAGGGTCGTAGAAGAAGTCGTCTGGCCCTTTACAAGAGACCCAAAGCCAATGGGGTCAAACCTGATGTTATCCACAATGTCTCAACACCTCTGGTGTCAAAGGTGAGTAACACTGGTCTTATGGTGCAGGGTCATTCAAACCTGACTGTTTACGTCTTTAGTCAAGGACACAAGGGAAATCTACTAAGAAGTACATTTTTTACCTATGCATGATGGTATATTCTGACATTTCTGATACTGTGGTATTGTGACATCACTGTAAGGTCACTCAATTAGGTCATATAATGTCATGAACCATTAACGCTTGGAACGGATAACAGTGGAAACACAATGTTCAGCTTATTTAGATCAACCACAAGTATTGTATTTATAATTCTGTACTACTACTTAGGTATTGTAAAACAATGTCACACAATATCTTTAGATCTCACTCTATCATAATAATATGTTTTAAATATAAATGATGTCAGTGAGAGGGGTTGTTCCTCTAGAATAAGAAATATCCTCTGGGTACATGTTCCTGGAGGCTCGACCTTCAGCTCTCCTTGCCATGTGACCTGGATAATGTCTTTTCCATTGGCAGGCACTCAGCAACAAAAGCCAGCACAGCATCTCCTACACACTGTCACGGAGCCACTCTGTCATTGTGGAGTACACCCATGACACCAACACAGACATGTTTCAGGTGAGTGTACACACACACACACACACACACACACACACACGCCAACTCAACATTTTAACCTTGTGACCTACTGTATGAATATCACTCAAAGTCAGATAAGTGACAAGTTGTCTAATGAAATCATTTAAAATGGTCATTATAAAATACCACAGCAGAAGAAAGAATCACACCTTGAAACTGACTTTTACTTCCTTTACTTTACTGCTGGAGGGACTGTATGTGAGAAGTTGCTCGAGTGAGACTCTTCGGACTTTCACCGGAGTTTATATGGCCAATTCCCTCGTAAAAACTCTGGTGAATGTCCATAGGAGCCGATGTGAGAACACAGCAGAAGATCATCTGCTGGATTCTCTGCCAGCGAGTGTGTTGATGATGTTTTTAACACGGGACAGACGCAACAATTTAAAAAACAAATATGTCTGCAGGAAAAGGCGGTGCCATACATGTAGAAGACACAGATGGAGATGTCAAGAGAGCTTTTGCTGATAGGGCCTGATGCCTGTGTTGATGCGTTGTAAGCATAAAAACATGTGCAGAATTTATACCCCTGGCTTGAACGCTCTGGAGATCTCTGTTCTTCTGAACGGATCTCCTGCTGTGTTGCTCATGTGTGAATGGCAAATTCCAGAGAAAGTCCAGACCCACTTCTTCGGAGGTTATGTCTGAAAAATGTTTTTGGTTGAGCGCTCTGTACTCATGGGCTGGACCGCAACCATCTCCGAACTCTTCCTCATTTTGATCTCAACTCCACACGTAAAGTTTTGTGACCCGCCATAGAGAACTGCTCCTTGTGGTAGTTCATGTTGCAGTGTGAGAAACACAAGGTAAAAACAACACCTGCTCCACTCTCCTAGGTGGTGAACAATCCCTGTGGCCCTAATGCATTTTCCCCTTAGACCTCAATTATAAAAGAGCCGTCTGCACAGATTAGACAGTCTAAGCTTTAGGCTATAACCAAGTGCTGACAAGCTCTGTACACACAGAGATCTTGCATGAGATTTATATCATCTTCATTGTGGAGGTAATCTGTAAGCAGATTTGTCCGAATACTCAAGATTACTGTGTCATCAGGGAGCGGTGAGTGACAAGAGGAAGCCCAGGATGAGACTATCTGTCAGGAAAGACTGAGGAGATAAAATATACAAGAGAGGATGAGTCAGACATGTCTGCCCTTAGCTCACAGTTGTTTTCCTACCACCTTATTCTCTCATCATCAAGGAGATCCACACATCGCTGAGACTCCAGGAGACAGAATCACCAGGGCTTCAGTCCAGTCTAACAATGTCTGTTCACTCACTACTGTGTTAAAGGGGCAGTTCACCCACAGACAAAACACATACTTTCTCACTTAACTTTGTCTGGAACATGTATGGTTGATGTGAGCATAGCAAAGCCTGGCCTTGCAGGGCAGTACTGACAACTGTCTTCTATGAAAAATAATTATGTTTTTTATTCAAAAAGTCACTAGGTGCTCTTTGTAGCCAAAACAGTTACTAAAAGTTACAACACAAAACACAAAAGAAATGCTGTTAGATTAATTAATTTAACTTTTCATTGGATTTTGACTGAAACCCCCCACAACCTGGTGGGGCCAGCTAACTGTAGCATAGCAAAGACTGTTTATCAGCTAATCTTAGTTATGGATAACTAGCTTGAAAGGTGCATCCATTATCCACCTGTGTGATGATGAACTGAAATCAAATGATTAACATTAAGATGCATTACTCTTTCTTGGTGGGACCATGTAGATTACAAAATGAACATCATCCCGTATTTAAGAAGACTTGAACATTGAGCTTGAGACCATAAAGTGATTAGAAAAAGGTTTGCTGAGGCTATGAATGTATTAGACTTTAACACAACTCCTTGTGGAAACCAGTGGAGATGCCCCCTGCTGGCCATTAGACCGAATGCAGTTTAAGGCCTTTTAGCTTTTCACTTAACAGTTCAGACCCAGAGTCCATGTTTGTATATAGTCAGTGTTCATGAGAAGAGATCCCCGGGATTCTGATATTAAAGGATTGTGGCTTTTTCCTAAGTGGAATTGATCGTCAAGCTAAATTCTAGTCCTAACCACATCATGTTATATTTCTATCCAACCTTGTTCCAATCCCAACAAGTTTCCTTTGAGAGCAGCCCTACTGGAATAACAGTTAGATTGGGAGGGTAGCACTATTTCTGAGGGGATTAGCCTTGAATGTGTGTAACCGCTTCAATAGTTAAGTTCAGTTATGTTAGTTAAGTTCAGTCTTTTGCAGGTTCTTGACTTTTATTCTTGTAATTCTGGCCTTTGATTCTTCGGGCAATGATAATGACAAGCTGAAATGATTTCTGAGATGGCCAAACACAGCAAAGAATTATAACACGATTGAATGTAGTAGTCCTTGGCTAACCTAAATGAAAATCTCTTACCACCCAGCTGGCAGGGAGCTAAACCCAGTTGTTAAAGTAGTCATAATGCTGTACTGCTGTCAGTGATCTGAAAATAAAAGAGAAAACCTTTTTCCTGACAATACAGTTGCTAGCCCAACAGTCTCTCACTAGACTTGGGTGAACCTGAAGAAGAGGCACATTTCAAAAACGTCTGTGATATGTAGACAAAGACTCTCGTTCTATATTTTGGAAATATGGACCCTCAATAGTATAACACTATATATGTGAGGATAAAATTACAAACGCACAGTTCATCCTCTTTAACAGCCACTTGTGTCAGAGTCATGGCATGTTTTTAGAGCATCCACAGTACTTCAGTAAGCTTTTAATCACATAGTGACTGCAGTACTGTACATCACAGCTGGACTGTCAATAGCACTTTGAGTCACCAGTGAGAGGAGCTCACTCATCGCCTCTATGTAGCTACTGATATGTTTCATTATGCTGAGGGGTGAATCCACTAAGTTCCTCTGGAGGATTCAGTGTTTAAGATGTGATTGATCATTTACTGAATAATTAAAACCCAAACTGTCTACATAGACAATTATAAGAGATAAGTGACAAGATATTTGTTTGTAATTTGAATGAACTGAAACCGACTATTTAATCACAAAATGATTTGCAGTAGTGTTAATGTATCTGCGTGTGGAGTCTTTCAGAGACTATTCATCTTTGATATCAGCGTCGCCTTGTCTTGTTCCTCTCTTCTCTTAGATTGGCCGGTCCACAGAGAGCATGATCGACTTCGTGGTGACGGACACAGCAGGCAGTGGCAGCAGTCAGGGTGGTGGTGCGGGAGGGGAGGGAGGTGGTGGAGGACAGTCAGCTCAGAGCACCATCTCCCGCTACGCATGTCGCATCATGTGTGAACGCAGCGCTCCATACACGGCCCGCATCTATGCCGCTGGCTTTGACTCGTCCAAGAACATCTTCCTGGGGGTGAGTGTTTTTCCCACTGGGTGACTGGCTTCTCCTGGTTACCGCCACCATGGTAACCATAGCAACCATAGTAAGAGCAACAGCAGGGCCGTGACTGTGCCACCCACGGGTGTCAGTGCATGTGACCTGGCTTGGGAGAGGAAGGAGCTGTGTGCTGTTTGTGTTGTGTGTTGTGTGTTGTGTGTTGTGTGTGTGTGTGTGTGTGTGTGTGTGCCTGCGTGCATGTGTGTGTGTGTGGAAGACATGAGGTGGAGATGGTAGTCATGTGTGTTATGAGTGTGTCTTGTGGTAATGCTTCTGGTCGTCATGTAACTGTCTAAGCTACCGCAGAGACATGTGCGGCGACATAACCAGTAGTAATGATACATGTTATAATATACTATCAGTACGTCAACACTGTACTGATGCTACTGTATGTAATAAACCAAATACAGTAGTTCTGATGTTTTAAGTTTTCTCCATTGTTCCAGAAAAGATAATATCATACTGACCAAATTGAATATTGACATCTGTATTAAACCATGGTGTAATGATTCTTTACATGTTGCATTATACAAAAACCTTCAACTGCAAAAGGAGAAACTTATTTCACCATCGGTAATGTGACGTACGTGCAAACCAATAATAGCTCCATTCTCAGGACAGCATGACTTCATCCTATGCAAGATTCATAAGGACCTCCGCCAACTAGGTCAGACATAACACACAAACATCCAACTGGGGGGAAACTGCGCCAGCCATTAAAACTAAATTTACTACAGATATTTCCTTTTATTCAAGATCAGTTCTCATTCAGGCTCTGTGCTTCACCTCTGAACTCCACGAAGGATGTGATGTAGATAGGACAGTTGTTGTGAGCCATAGATAAATAATGCATATGTCTATTAAGTAAGACCTTAAAATAACATTTCTCATATATATTCCCATTCTGTATATCCCATCTGTAAGTTCTAGTCACACTAAGACACAATGACTGTAAATAAAGGTGTAGGGTATGACAGCTCCCCAAAATGAAGCCAAAACATCTTGACTGCCCCCTGGTGGTTGGTTGCAGTATAAGTCATAAACCCTGACCCCTCCATGTTAGCAGATGCAAAATTAGCATTAAGCTGATAAATGTTCCATGCTCAATTGTGTCTGTCTGTTTGCTGCTTGTCAGGTAGAGCACAGTGGGTTTATCTGAGCCTTTTCATTAAGAATTGTGCTGCTGGATACAAAGCTGATGAGAGTAGTGAGACTCAACCAGAACAATAAGGTTGCAGCTTGTAAAACCAAAACAATAAGTTGAAAGGTGCTGAAAAGCTCTGTACAGATTAGAGATGTAGAGTTGATGATAATGCTCGGTGGATTCATCACAGGAATGAGCCCTTTCACACTACATATCATCATTCTAACCTTTCCTGACATAACTTGTCTAAATAATGATTTTACTTTCCTCAGAGCAGCAGTGACCTCTAAGAGTTGTTTTCATATCTAAATCTCCAGGCTGCATGTTGCAATTTTATACAATTTTGGCTACACATGCCAGAAATTTGTAGTTTCCTCATGAGCTAATTTGTGTTCGTACTACATCCTGCCTTTCTCTTGGGAATGGGTCTATTCTTTGGCGTGGGTGCTCCTCTTTGCATCAGTCAGTACAGTAGTCACTCTGTACTGAGCTTAATATAGAAGCAGAACAAAAGCAACGTAGGCTGTTTTTTTTTCTCCTGCCACCTCTGACATCCACCTCCACTGTATCCCTCTGGCTCCCCATCACTCCCCTAACCTTTACGTCTGCCTGCTCTTGTGCGTGTGTGTGTGTGTGCATATGTGGGTGTCTCTCAGGAGCGGGCTGCCAAATGGAGGACGTCGGATGGCTTGATGGATGGCCTAACCACCAATGGGGTGCTGGTGATGCACCCAGCAGGGGAGTTTGTATCTGAGCCGGCTCCAGGCGTATGGAGGGAAATCTCAGTGTGTGGCAACGTCTTTGCCCTTAGAGAGACACGCTCTGCCCAGCAGAGAGGAAAACTGGTAAGAGCAAGAAGGTTTGATGGGAAAACAAGCCCTATGTTTTCATGAATATGATCACAAGGGTTGAAGTAACTGACCTTGACTTGAGCAAAAAGCTTGAAAATGCAGGTATTTCTGTGAAAATTGGTCGTCACAGCTCCAGTCCCAGGGTAAGGAAGATGAACAAAGATCTTTATTACATTAGTATGAGGGTATGCAGAAAAGATTAGACATTTTACACGGTCTACCATTTTGTAAATACCATTACAAGGACAGAGTATTGAAAGGAAGTTCTTGTTGGTGTAATAGCTTTACATGAAGTGCAGCAAGTTGTAGTTACATTTGTTATGTCCAAGAATCTGTAGAACTCCATCAAGGGACTATATTGAACGTACAGTATGACCTGGGGTAAATAGCCATTGGTATTCTTATTGTACACCACTGCTTATTGATGTAGAAGGCTTCATTATTTTTGGAAATCAAACCTACAAGTTGGCAATGGGCATCCAAATGGACATCAGGGTGTCTTTCCCTGCAACAAGACAGCTTCTCTAGTTTTCTCAGAAGACACAGGAAACTTTGAGCTCCTCAAACGCCTCGGGGATTTATTTTATGCTAGAGAAGTGCCATATGAATTTGTGTGTGAATGGGTGAGTGTGACCTGAAGTGTAAAGCAGTTTGAGCGGTCATGAAGACTAGAAAAGCACCATATTAATGCAGTGCATTTACCATATCATACCTTTAATCACTTCTACAGAAGAAGAAAAAAGTATTTAAAGTGTGGGGTATCTTTGAATGTTGTACTGCAATATCCCTGGTTCAATAAAATGTGTTCTTATATGAACAAAACCCACCAGTGTGCACCATAACAACACATCAGTTCTAGGGATGCATCCATCCACTCTACTGTTTGGGAATCTGGAGAGAAGTTGGATCAATGTGTCCCCTCTTTTATAATACCAGTGATGTCAGTGATCAAAATTGATGTACCGTCCCTCTTCTGTTTTTCCCCTGCCACTTCTGCTTCTTCTGTACTTCTCTTAAGGTTGAAAATGAGTCCAATACCTTACAGGACGGTTCTCTGATTGATCTGTGTGGGGCTACCCTGCTATGGAGGACCCCCGCCGGACTGCGCCACACCCCAACTCTCAAACAACTGGAGTCCCTTCGCCAGGAGCTAAATGCTGCCCGACCACAATGTCCCGTGGGTTTCAACACCCTGGCCTTTCCCAGCCTGGCCCAGCGTGAGATTGTTGACAAGAAGCAGCCCTGGGTCTATGTTAATTGTGGCCATGTGCATGGCTACCACAACTGGGGCTACCGCAAGGAGAAGGGTCCAGCCGGCCCTGGTGGCACTGCACCGGCCAGCACTGGGGAGAGGGAGTGCCCCATGTGCCGGCGAGTGGGCCCCTATGTGCCGCTGTGGCTGGGCTGTGAGGGAGGATTGTACCTGGACGCCGGGCCGCCCACTCATGCTTTCTGCCCCTGTGGCCATGTATGCTCAGAAAAGACAGTGGTGGGGTGGAGCCAGATCCCATTACCCCATGGCACCCATGCCTTCCACGCTGCCTGCCCCTTCTGTGGTACCTGGTTGACAGGGGAGCAGGGCCACATCAAACTCATCTTCCAAGGCCCTGTTGACTGAAGCCCTGACCTGGGAACCACTCAGAGGACAGTGATGTTGGATTGGACAGAGGTGAGACAGAGTTAAGACTGTGTGCTAGAACAAAAATCTGAACATTTCAAGTATGAGGTAAAAGAGAAAGCACTGATGACAAGTACAGTGAAAGGACTGTTGATATGATGAACTGAAAGCGACATGCAATAGTAGATGCCAAGGCTTCACATGGACTAAGAGGTGTATGGAGGAGATGTAAATAAACTGTGTTGAAATGAAAATGTCTGTAGTGATCATTTCTCCTCTTTCTGTAGCTGCGTGGCCTCAGTGTTTAGGTAGCTGGGCTGCTCATCATGTTAACCTACTGTAGGTGAGCTGTCAAGTATAATTCTAGCTTACTTACAGGTCTAAAGCTAACATGGTTAAATAACTCACCAAATGAATTACTGAGAATCAGGACAACATTACTAAATAGAAAGGGAGAAAGAAACAAGAAGGCCACATAGTTTGGAAACAAACTCAAGTGGTTTGTAAAACTTAGACCTCATTCCTCAATCATGTGAATCATGAGGTAAGTGCACTGACGCAGGCGGTCAAGAGGGTCATGCAAAAAGTAAACATGCTCCTCCAAATGGACTTCTCACATCGAGTTTCATGGCCTTACTTGTTTATGAAACAACATGCTGCTACAGATACGGTTGAGAAGTTGGCCTTATTTGGAAGAGAAAATGAAGGATGGTGAAATGATTACCCAAACTGTCCAGCGTGAACAACCATCACAGTTTAACCATTTAATATGAATAAAAAGCAAAGGTAAGGCTTAGCATCTTCACCAAGAATGTAAATTTGCAGTCCTGCATATCAAGCAAACATATTTCTTTCAGGAAGTGGATTGGAAACAGATGCACTGATTTTAAGGAGCCAGAAAACCACACACCCAAATGTCAGATAGCATCTGAAACTCCATCGGAGGAACACCTTTCCAAGGTCAGATTAGGGGGGGGACTGTGTCCGACCATTTCAGGAACCTAAACTTAGGCTCTGACGTGCACACGTACTCATGCTGTGACTGGCCAGCTGTGCAGAGGTGGGAAAGGGGCCAGGGTTTAACCTGCGCTCTCTTGCTCTATTTTTACCAACCAAGCGCAGCAATATGAATGTCTTCAAGGAGATACTGTAAAAAGATGTGCACTGTAACTCCTATTTTAAACAATACTGCAGCGGCCATCATCTCTGTGACAGCGGCTCGTCAGCCCAGCTCGAAAAAACAACTTGGTCAACTGTGAGACATTTGCTTGGCTGTTGCTTGCATGCAGATGGAGGAGCATGTTCCAGAGCGACTGCCTGGTTCACTACCTGCAAAACTTCAACAATCTGGTAGCTGGGCTGCTCTTTACCCGTCCCCATAATGTGCAAGTTTGCTCTCAGCAGGATGAACATTAAGGCCTCTGCCTATTACAAGCCCTCACTCAGTAGGTGCAGCCAACACACAGACTACGCAGTAGTAAGCTGCAGACTCCACAGTGTCTCTAAGCCTTGCTCCCAGTTTGCAGTGCCCCCATTGTGCTAAAAATAACTCAAGGTCGCCAGCAGCCCCATGCCTCCCCACCGGGAGAGAGAGGCAGCTTTGTGATCAGAGAGGCTGCATATTACCTATTCATCACCTCAGGAAATGTTACACCGACACAGATTGAACCCTTCAGTGTGTCCAGATTCAAGAACTCCACCATGATCTTGCACAAGCTGCACCTTGAACAGATATACATGTAGATGAACCTGCTCTGTGAAGGTCTCACTCCATGGTGGATACAGAGGCTGTAGTCTCACCACAAGCTGCCACAAGGTTTTTACACCAGTGCCTGGGACAACTGGCAATATTCAACATCCAGTGTCTCTTCATTTGTCTTCAATAACATTTGACACAGTGATGTGTCTTTTAAGTGCAAATGCTGCCTGCACCTATCATCTGCTCGCTGTGTGTGGTTATTTAAAGGCCCAGAGGGAGACGATGGGGTACAAATCAAGGGCGTTTGCCACATGGATGACAGGCAGCAGTATGTTCAGTAATGGTATGTTGAGCAGGGACATGTGTCCTGCGGGCGTTCCTGACAATATACAGCAGAACACATTTCAATGGAGTTGAACACACACTCCATGTGTGCATGGCCCCTGACACCACACAAGGAAATGACTGGGATTTCATTACATTCAGTCAATGCATCTGAGATAAAATATAATATGCTAGAAGAGCTGATCCATCCAGATGTAAAGGTGGAGAAACTTAAATAACTATAAACAAATAAAACATTATCAATTGTTTTTGTTTTACTGCCTAGAAAATAAAATCACTGCACATGCTCAGACTCTAACGCCACCTACTGGCCTGGCATTGTCTGTGTTTTTTGTGTTCATGTGTATGGAACTGTATGTACTGACAGTCTGTGAATCAAAGGTTGTGTGGAGAAGTGTTTTTCAAACAGAGGTGCTTAGTTGAACGAGGTCTCAGATAGGTATTATAAAACCTCAGTGCACCAACTTGAAACCGTGAATTGTCGCCACACAACATTAGGGTTAAGTAGGAGAATTTTGTTTTGTCATTTGGGTGAACGATTCCTTTAATTTCATGCCTTCTCTCTTAATTACCAGAGTGGTATCAGCTAATTGACTCTCACACTGTGGGCAGAGATGGTGCTGTGCCTCACTGGTGTCAGGATAACGCCCACCGCCATAATAGTGTAGACAATGATGATCTTCTATCAGTGTGTTTTTGTGTTATGTTGTGTGTGTGTATTTCTCTCTGTGAGTCATATTGTTGGTTGTCTACCTGCAAGCAAACAAACAAGTAGCAGTATCATCCCGACAGTTCAGTCCACTGGTGTCTGTATTACACACTTTCAGACTGTCAATGACTAAAACAGCCTTAAACCAAACAGCCAGCACCAATTATTACCAACTGGAAAATTTATTTCAAATGATATTCTTTCATTAAATTTGAAACTTTTTTTTTTTCTTGCTTTGATTTGATGAGCCATCACTAAGGGGGTTTGAGGGGTTATGTACTTTTCATGCTCTAGACAAGAGAAGCTTTGTCATTGTTATCATTGATTAGTATCAAATAAGTTGTGTGTGCGGGAAGACATTAAGTGTCTCTAAGTGTTCTCAGCGTCGACACGGTATAGTGTTTTTCTTTTTGTTGTCGTCAATATCACTTTTCTTTTTCTCAGGTTCATGTTTAGCTGTTTCCTATTTAGTAGGAAATATTAAGACACACATAGCAAGGCAATGAAACATGTGATAATGACTTTATTACTGAAGTACACAAAATGTTCTGTTTCTGTCCAAACTAGGAAATTTGTGATTTTTAATTCTCCAAAGGGTGCATGGTCTCTATTTTTGGGGGAACAGGGTAGTGTATTTAAACTTCTTCTCATCCTAGATTTGAAAAAAGTTAATTAGGTTAATTAGGTTATGTGAAAATAAAATAAAATGACAAAATAAAATGTATATAGTCAGGTTTGGATGAAACCTTCTCAAACCACAACTCCCTGTTTTCAGGTAGGGTCAAGGTAAAATACCACACCAGCGCTCATGTTGATGTTGGTCTTTATCATTTTATTATATATATGTATGTGTGTGTATATATATATATATGTATATATATATAATATGTACAGAAAAAAAACGTGATAGAATCAGCAGGAGACAGCACCAAGGTCAACAAGCAAAACAGAAAAAAAGACAGAAGGTGAGTGACGGGCGAACTCCTGCCCAGTGCCTTTTATTAACAAACACCTAGAGAGTGCCTTTATTAAGCCATTGAACAGCGTCGAACAAGTGTGCAAATGACAAACAAACCCAAATGGATACAAAAAGAGAACTAAAGAAAAAAAATGTCAAGCATTGTTTCATCAGAATCACATTCATAAGCAAAAGCCACACCCTACATCTGTTCAATCCCCCCCCCAAAGCAGACGTCCCATCCTACCCAGTGTCCCCGCATACTTCCATGGACTAGACAACACAGTATAGAATACATTAAAATCAGTAGAGTATCAAGACATGTTGACAGAAAATAAAAAAAAAAGGAAAAGGAAATCAGTCAATCAAAGCACAATTTATCCAGTATGTATATATATATATATGTATGTATGTGTGTGTTTGTGTATGGGTGGATGTGTGTGTGTGTGTGTGTGTGTGAGGGGCTTGAGTGTTCATTTCAAATGATTGCTTGTTCTGCATCTACTCAAGTGAGACTGGCATGATGTCGGGATACCAACATGTGTCCAAACAGCTGGGGAATGTTACACACCACCCTGCCCTGTTCCAGACACACATACAGACACACACATGCTGCCTTCCCTCCCCCTTAATGTGAGATTCCTGCACATCAAACTACTGCGTTCCAATTTTTTGTGTAATCTGATGGCAAAACACACTCAACTGGTGGTGCCACCATTACCGGAAGTGTTGAGGCTTTCCGTCGGAACAAAGGTCAGTGATGGGGCATCACTAATGGAAGGCTATTGTTCTCAAGACAAAATCGATCCCTCTGAAGTTGAACTTTTTCCGGTGCATTTGTGACGTATCACGACAGCTCCAGGTGGTGGTGTACTTACAAAAAGAACAAGGAGGGGAACCAAATCCCAGGAGAGATTCTTTAACATGAGTAGATAAGCCAATCAGAGAGGGTCTTCAGGAATTCGTCAAGTTGCAGTGACATGTTCGGCTGGAGGAGGAGAGTAGGGAGTTCATATCCGGTCAGCAAAAGCAGACCAGTCAGTCCCTGAACTTCTCTTCTCAACACACACATGACCACACTATGGCCTGGAGAAGAATGTACATCTCCCTGCACGAACAACCACACCACAGATTGCTAGGAGAAATAAGAGTGAGGTATTTAAAGGCCCTAACGTTACTCTAGTACAGTATGTATATTATCTAAAGTGTAACCAGCTTTCTACATTAACGCGGCCTCGTCTTCCAGTTCTTTTTAAAGCAGGGCAAAAAAGTTGCAGTCTGATAACGTTTTATGTACAAAAGCTAAGTAGTCACTCGAGTGCAGAGGCCCCTCTTTTACTTTCACATTCCTTCCTGTTTCCCTGGAATACCACAGAGCTAACACGGCTATGAAAAGCAGCTCCACGCACATGGCCTCATACCTGTCTCTGTTATCAGCGTTACTATGCCGACCACTGGGAGTCATGGTGAACAGCCTGAGTCTGACACAAATAGACAAACGTCCAAAATGTATTCTGATTTATACTACTGACTGATTTTTGATTGAAATGGCAACTTTGACCTGACGTTGAACAAAAACCTCTTGACCTCTTTGTCAACTCACTATCCTCTTCCAGAGCTTAACGTCACATTTAAGTCATGACGTTTGTAGAGCTGTTAGTTTGTAACTGGAAGGGGTGTGTCTCTGATTTTAATGGCATTTTGTATTTCAGAGGTCATTCAGTGGACAACATGTTTCTCTACTGATTAAGCCACTTTTAAATTATTTTATTTTGGCTTTTTGTTGTGTATAGGTGCCAAAATTCCAACACTGTATCAGCACTAGAGTCTATACCCAGCCTTACGTGTAATCATCATAATTTCCATTTGAGGCTTTGAAATTGATTAGTCATTTATTCAGAGAGATGTGCCATCGTTTTCATTTAAAATAAATACACTTACTGAGACAAAAAGAGAAAAAAAAAACTCAATGTCCACTTACTACCTTTTTCCAAGATGAATTCTCTGGGGGGAAAAAGCTGTAGGATAGACCTTGAGTTCAGATAAACTTGACACCAAGAATGAACTTTGAGAAGTCAAATACAAGATTGACTTGATCACACTTAATCACACTTGTAGAATTTGAAGGAGAGGGGAAGTTTTACAGTGTCCATCTCTGTATAAAGATTAGGGATATTTCTTCTAAACCAAATTGAATCTAAAGGCATCAGTATTCTTCAAAACATTGTTGAACTCCTCAGGCAGGTGGAGTTGTGAGAGTAGGCATTATCTGAACTGATGAGGAACCAGAAACATGAAGGACGGGTGCCAGGATATTTATGTTTGACGAACAGGTCCATCTCAGGGGAGGAACAGCAGCTTTTGTAAGACCTGTAAGACCCCCACCCTCTTAGCCAACAGACACACCCACACCACATCTCTACCCCAGCTTCATCTGCAAACAAGCAAGAATGAGACCACATTCTAAAACATACTTTGTTGTGTACTGAATGAGACCTGAAGCTAAGTATACAAGTTGTCTCTATCAGAAGCATCAATGGAAACATAAAAAACAATAAAACGACAACAACAATAAAACAGTATTTGTAAGATCAATGCATGATATTGCCAATTGCTTCTGTTTGTCAAAACTCAGTCACCACCCCCTCCGCATTTTAAATCATACTTTGTCATCTGTGTCCGACGCTATCTGCCCTCTTACAGTAATATTTAGTGTCATTCCAGCAGGTCACTGTGCTAAGTGTTACATTTCTTTCATTTCTATGCAAAATTATTACTGTGAAGACTAAAGAGAAAAACTAACAGTATATTTAAGTTCTCAAAACAACCGCCTCCATCCTAGCTCTGTCAAGATGAGGATTTAACTGAGCCTCCAGCTCCTCTTCCACCACAAGCGTTGAGCAGGGAGTTAGGTTAAGGAATCCCTTGGTTAATGCTTCTGTCATACTGTCTTTGCGTGTAGATCTTCCTTCAGCATAATCAAATTTTTGGGCTCATACTTGGGTCACTAAATCACTAAGTTCCTTTTGCGAGAATGCAGAAAATGTCACTGAGCCTCTGTCTTTTGAGAAGAGGCACTAGAGGCCTAAGTCCGATTTTACAAAGTGTAATTGCATATAAAATCAATGAAAAGACAAGTAATGGCAGATAGATGAAAATCTGACACAAACTTAGCAGAAGGCGCATCTGTGCAAGTTGAAAATACTTGAGTTTTAGCAAAAGATGGATCTGCTTCTTAAACATACAGAGACAACAAAGGTACAGGCTGAGAAGCTGAAAAGAAATAACTAAAAGAACCAGACTTCCTGCTGAACTCTGAAATCAGTCAGAGAATGAGCTGAACACAGACACACACAAGCACATTCCCATACACGAAGCCGGCGCATCTACCTACAGCTAATGTCTGTACAGCTGGTATATTGGATGGTTGGGGCCAATCGACATGGACTACACTGACGGTCCACTGATCACATTCACACTAATGAGGTGAATGTTGCTCAATAAATGACAATGATGAGTCACTGTTAGCAGTGAGCACTTCCTACTGCGTACAGAGCTTCTACAGAGAATGACTCAAGCACGCTGCACCCGGTGGTGTGTTTGTGCAGGTAAATAATTCCAACAACCAAAACTTTGGGCTGTGGGTTGGGCGGGGGGGGCGGGCGCATAAGATGAGATCAGCAAAGATAGATGCAGTCTGAGGAGAGAAGTATTTGACCAAAAGGCATATATCTCTTAACCCCATGCCATGGGAGAGTGTGTGTGTGTGTGTGTGTGTGTGTGTGTGTGTGTGTGTGTGTGTGTGTGTGTGTGTGTGTGTGGTTTCTAAACTTCATCTTCCACTGCCTCCACTCCACTATAAATCAATATCAATTTCCCCCCATATCTGTTTTTTCCTTTCTGTCCTCTTGGCAGAAAGTAAAAGTTGCCCTGGTGTCTGTTTTTGTTCCTCCCTCACACTGGTTGTTTTCTTCTCTCTGTTGTTTGTTGAGCATAGAGGCCTGAATTAATCCTCACAAAACTTTAAATCAGTTCTCTGATCTTAACACTCTTACAGTTCAGTTCTTCGTTTGCCTCAACAATCCTGTGTCTCCAGGCAGGCTGACAGAGGGGGGTCAGAGGGCTGGGTGTGGGTTACAGGGTGGAATGGTGGGGTGTGGGAATGGCTGAGATGATGGCAGGGGAACACAGAGGGAGAGGAGAGGGATATGTCGAAGTGGAGATGGTGATGGTGGGGGTCCTTTAGCAGCAGCCCCCTCCGGACTGCCTGACGGGAGTGCTCTCAATTTTTAAGTTGGGTTTGTCGCTACCAGCTGTGGCTCCGGGGCCCATGCGCTTCTTGATCTCTGCGGCCATGGTCATGAAAGCCTGCTCTACATTGGTGGCGTTTTTGGCGCTTGTCTCCAGGAAGGGGATGGCCAAAGAGTCAGCAAACTCCTGCCAGAAAAGAACAGAAGAAATTTGACAGTCAAACATTTCACTCTAAACATATCACAGACCTGGTATGGGGTTTTACTGTTATACTGACAGAAAGGCCGGCAACATATGGCTCTGAGCATAGTTCATCAGATGTCTGTGTGCACATGTGGTGTGCACAGCTCATGCAGTCATAACCATTTTAATTATTGATAAATAAAAAGACCTAACATGCTTTTGTTAAAGCTTCTCAGCACCAAATATCTTTGGACAGTCACACAAAACAAGGTCACTGAAGAAAATTGTGATGGGTATTTTTCACTTCTCTGATATAGGGTTATTACCTTGGAGAAATTTTGGGAATTATTGTGAGACCAGGACTCTTCTTCCTTGCAGTCTGTGGTGGTGAAATTGCGTGGAATATTCTTGTGTTTCTGTCTGCAGCGTTTCACCACACACATTTGCATAAAACTTTTATTTTGGGACTTTTACATTATGACACAAAGTTAAACAGACTTTATTAGTCTTTGAACTGAGTACATAAGACCTTGGGGTTTTAGGGGACCAATTTGAATTGTTTGGATTGGTGTGTTGCAGTTGCCTGCCTCCCAACTTTTGTTTGCATAATGTTGTGCAAGTTTGACATGTAATTATGTAATTTTCTTTAATATAACCTGATATTTGCAAGATATCTCTCCTATTTTAGTGGGATAAAGAGCAGGATTTTTTAATTATTGTAAGCAGGTAAACTTGCAGCATCTTTACACAGTGTTTTAGGTTCACCTGTTTTTTTTCTCAAATATGTTTATTTATGTAAAGGTGAATTGATTACAATGTCCTGCGCATTTATCTGTGTATATAGCTGTACTTGAATTGGAGACAATACAGTCATCATAGACTAGAAATCTCATGAAGCAGCTCCACTGCAGGCACACAGGCAGTGTGGCTCAGGTGCTAGTGTAATATGTTCCCATATTATCACCAGTAGAGGTGGAGTGGAATGTTCATGTGGGTCTGGTTCTCTAAATTGTAAAACATGTTTCCTTTAGGTTGGTGATGGGTGGATGAGTCAAGCAGATCGTAGACGTTTTAATCGTTCACAATCTAATATCGTCATATTGCACACCCCTACCCTACATTTTGTAGTCCAAAAGATAAGTCAAATTAAATAAGAAAAATGGACGGATATCTCTGTAATAATAATAATAACAGTCCATGCAGGCAGATGCGGAAATTATATTTGGTTTTCTAAGACCCTGTGTGTGTGTATTTCAAACAATGGTGACTGACACTGAGTCGTTTAAGTTGGAACTGATAATGTTAAACAAGTTACTTTAACACAAACTACTGTGATGCAGAAAAGACAGAAGACGTCAGAGGAGATGATGTGTACAACCATTGAAATGAGGCAGAGCGAGGAGTTTCCTCCTCAATGAATTTGTTCCGATGAAGCAAGGATAAAGGAGCCATACCTTGGCTGTTGTGTAGTCCACTACTTTCTTGGTGGTCAGGTCACACTTGTTGCCCACCAGAAGCTTATTGACATTTTCACTGGCGTAACGGTCGATTTCCTGAAGCCACTGCTTGACATTGTTATAGGACTCCTGCACAATGAGAACAACAATATCAACATGATGCTAACATGACACAAAAGGTTAGTTTACAATTTCTTTAACACCATTGAGACCTGGCAGTGGAATTTAAGAGAGGAATCTTTCTGATTTACTGTTAGAGAACCAAAATAATAAAATCTGCATTATCTATTTTCTGTACTACTTGTACAGAAAATAGATCATGCAGATTTCAGTTTATAGATACAATGGCACTGCAGCATGTGTTTGTATTTAATAAAACAACTGTGATGTGTTACCATTATAGCTATATTGAAATCAACTTGCAAGAAAAAGTCATGAAAATGAAATGGATATGATTTCATGAAATGCTGAACATAACAGACACGTAAGTCTAGAGAGTAAAAAATGAAAGCTGAACTGTGACTTCAGCTACTGATTAACCAGTCAGTCAGAGAGAAAGTTTGAAGCTCATTCACGTCAGCTGCTGTGAGTTGAGACATATAAGCTCTCCTGGAACTAGGAACTCTGCACAAGGATCAGGGTCTAAATTTCTGGGGAAATCTTTTTACCCCAAGCTTAATGATAGTACACAAGTAAAGGAACCTGATTGGTGGAGTACTCCAGCATTTTTTTTTTCTTTATTTGTACTCATCTCCTTTCTGATTAACAGGATATAATTTGTGCTTACAAATTATATCTCCTCCATGTTTACTGTTGTTGTAGTGTTGCTTAAATAATATAAGATGACATGACCTGCGGATAAAGTCCGGAGAATACCAGGGGGCCAGGAGGATAAAGTCTGCAGATAATCCTGATGCTCTTACTCGGACACTTGCATTCACACATGCACCTCCTCAAGAGAAAGTGCAGAGAATCTCTGAAGTTCAGTGCATGACTGAAAGCAGCTATAGTGTCACTATTGTTGTATAGTCTTTTGCATTATTGCCACCTGGTAGACTGGAGTGGAACAGTTTGTTGGAGTTGTTAGTTGTTCACATGTCAGCAGGGTATTTGCCTAATCTCCTCTAGTCTTTAGGCCACAGTGTAGCACAGGCAAACAACAGTCTGCACAAACGTTTTAGGTCCTTGAAAAGTCGCTGGGACTAGAAGTTACAGATAATAAAGTGGTAAAATGAAGCTATTGAGACATATGTCTGTGGCGGAAAAAAGCCTGATCTTGAGCTGGCAGGGTACGACTGGTGACTTTCTTCAACAAAAAATAGCTGAAGGTCAAATTTTTGGTTTTTTTTTTTTTTTTTTTTTTTTTTTTTTTATAATGAGACATTAAGTTAGTAATACTACCTGTAAACACCCCCCTAATTCAATTTGAAAGAGCAAAATAAAATGGTGAAAAAGAATGGTGTAACTTGCTGCTTTCCTTCACTGAGGAATCAGTCCAGACCAACGACTTACCTGATCTGTCACATCATATACGACTATGATACCATGGGCTCCACGGTAGTAACTGGAGGTGATGGTACGAAACCTCTCTTGACCTGCAGTGTCCCACTGTCACAGACACACAGAGATAGAGAGGGAAAGAGGAAAGGGTTAGAAGTCTGTTCATCAAGAGTCAGCCCATTTGACAGTGAGCAGCAGTCAGGGATAGAAGAATATTTACATGAGAATTATATTTGACAATGCAAGATCAAGAAAGTTTTTTAAAGTTAAGTTCATCTCATTTTAATTCATTCAAAAGCCTGAACTCTAGAGAAACAAGAACAGTGTGGTAATACCTGACAACTTCAATTTCAGTTTAAAATATGAATATCTGAAAAGCTGTGCATCTTTTCTACTTTTGTTTCTCTTTCCATTTATACTGGTGAAAACTGCTCTATCCTTCTTCAGGATTAAGATTAATATTGTGTGTACAGCAAACTCGATCAGACTTTCAAAATGCTCTTAACCTCTCGTAGGCTTTCAAAGTGAAAAATCTGTGGGAGGGTTGAGTTTCACTGACGCCACTAACACTCAAGAGAAATAATAGAAGTGGTTAGAAATAATTAGTGGATGGCAAAAGCTTGTGTTTAAGAAAAATGGGGGCAGCAGAATGTGAGCATGACATGTCTTTGCTGTTCATCATACTGAACTTACCATGCTGACTTAGAAGCTGACAGAGAACAGTTTACTTCACCTCCATCAATGTTTTTATTAGCAGCCTTTCTTTGTTCATTTGCCCATAACTGGATGATCGGGAATGAACCGTTTTTATTTTAAGCATCTATAAAAAAAAGATTAAATAAACTTCATACTTTGAAGTGTTTGGCAGTTGACTGTGGGGCTGCATCTCTGTGCAGGTATGTGCCGCATTCTGTATTATTACTCTATTTCTCTGGCCGTGAAAGACAGTGGATTCTTTTATAGTTTTCTCAGACCATGAGTAGCCCATGCTAAAGGAGGCAGGTCTTCCACTGCCAAGTCCTTACTCCCACGGTGTCCTTGACCGTTATAATGGCAGCATAAAGACTCAGTAAATCAAAATAAAATGGTAAATGGTCTGTATTTATATAGCACTTTACAGTACAGGTTATTGCCCCTCACCCATTCACACATTCATACAGTGCATCAATGAGCAGCACTTTTTCACTGATGGGCAATTTGGGGTTCAGTATCTTGGGCGTGCAGATGGGGAAGACTGGGATCGAACCGCCGATCTTCTGGTTAGAGGACGACCAACAAGTGGACGTAGACAGGCAACATCAAAGACGTCCTCAGAATCTTAACATTTGAGGCTACGGTAAGCCATGAAATGGACAGACCGGACTGATGAAATTGCCCTGGTTTGCGACACACAGAAGCTAAATCAATGATGTGGCTACGTTATATAATAAATACTAAATAAATTGGTCACAGCAGCAATCACAGAGCTGCCATTATCTGTAGGTTGTTTCATAATAGTGAACACCACCAGCAATATTTGCATGTCAGCAGAAATAGCATGCATACAAATCAAACCGGTCATAGCCAGTTTAGCCATAACATTGCTCAGTCACTCAAACATGTAGTCAATGTCATGAGTTGTGCTTCTGTTTCCACTGGTCTCAACTCTCTTTGAAGATGAGATCCTAAATTTGAGCACTGCTCAGGAGCAAACTGAATCCAAGTGCCCAATACTTTCAGTGGTTGGAAGCAGTGTTGTCTCTAGTGGTATGATGCCGCATCATCACAACAAGACAGAGTAAAACACATGGAACAACAGTAACTATTTGAATCCTGCACGTGTAAGTAATATGACACCAGATACTTTAAAATAGACAAACCCACAGGTCTCAGCTATGTGGGAAGAGGAGGCTTTTCACAGGGAACTGCGGTTAGGGGTTATAGACTAAAATATTTCTCAGCAATAAACAAAGACTAAGATAATAAAAAATAATATAGAACTTGTAAGGATGACGAAGAGATCACAAAACTACAAAGTAGTTTTTCATGCTGCATGCCATGTTCGGCCACAGCTGTACTATTGGCCAATGTAAAAGTACATTTACAATATCAACACATTCAATTGTTGTCACCTTACATCACTATCCACAAGAGGGACCTTGTACCAAACCAAGCTGTACCAAGGATCTTCGGGCTATAGGGAGCTCCAGGGTACACCTACAGATGCTCAATTTATCTCTATGTGTTAAAACTGATTTATAAAAGAAGTGAAAAACAGGAGGGTGCTGTGAATAATGTGCTTTTATGTTAGAGTGACTGTATTAAGGTAACGTCTACCTTACAAACTATATCTCTTTCAGGTGGAACAGCCTGTTCAATTAACTAAAACAGGATCCAGTTACAGCTTGGTCTGAATGCACACGCACGCACTCACACCGAGCTCAGTCTCTCGTGTATTTTGGTAACTATGGCTGGATCTACACCCTGGCTCATATTAGGGTAATAACGTTGGTTGTGTATATGCTCACAATCTGCAGTTTAATGGTCTTGCCATCCAGCTCAATGGTGCGGATCTTGAAGTCCACTCCGATGGTGCTGATGTAGCTCTCTGTGTAGGTGTCATCCTGTAAGAAGAGTGAGGGAGAACAGAAGGGGATCAGTTCAACAGCAGTTTGGGGGAAAGACTAAATGTTTGACCTGGTACAGAAACAGAAACGGAAGGACATGTTTTTAAAGTATGAGACTACTTACTGCAAATCGCAGCAGAAGACAGGACTTTCCTACTCCAGAGTCTCCAATCAGCAGGAGCTTGAACAGATAGTCACTGAAAGAAAAACAAATCGGGTCAGAACAGGGAGGTCATTTTTAAACTCACAGCATGTACAATGTCTCAGTTCATAAAACAAACAGAAACTGACTGTATCAAACTTTGAAGCCCCCCCCCTCCTGACACAAACCTGTCTCATAGATTAGAGTGAGACCTGCACAACACGTTATAGCCTATTTTACAAACATTTTGAGGAACACGTTTTACGGTGTGTCACAATAATCCACTTCCCAACTCTAGAGAGTGCCTGTGTGTAAGTGAAAATAAAATACAGTGTGAGTATGACAATAAAGGAACATGTCATTTTAGATGGAGCTCTGTGGCTCAGAGGAGAAATAAAGGTCTGCAATATTTGTAAGTAGAATATAATTATTGTTGGTTTTGGTATTTTTGTGGGATTTTGACAAATTGTGGCATATATATATATGAATGAAGGAATTATTGAATTTAACTTCTGTGTACTTTGCTTTTCATCACAAAGGTTAAGATTTATAAAAAAGAATTCCCCCACTAGTTTCACATCTGCATCTCCTGCATGTAAAACAGATGCACACTTCTGTACATTAATATACATGTCTATATATGTAATCTATTATCCTGATGCATTGTTTCAACCCTAACTATCAAACAGCAGTTCTAAAACAACTAACAGGTAATGCATAACAGGGGGGCATGGCCAAGCAGGTTAAATAGGGCTTGGGGTTACAGCTGGGTTTGAGACATTTTGATTTTAGTTCCCATACCTGACCACTAGCACTGATACATAAACAACACTTTATTAAACCTCGAGGAATATAAACATGATTAATGTTGAGGTTTGTTGTTGTTACTTATACTTACAGGATCTCTCACCTGCCGCCACAACACAACATGAAAACAACCTCAGAAGAATTTCATACACAGCACTGACAGCCAAAGAGAATTACCCAATGCGCATGCTATTCTTGTGTCATAGGAAACCGAGACCTGCCATGTATCACATCCTGACACTTGATCAACTGACAATATGACATCAACACTGGATGCAGTGGCAGCAGCAGTGTTGCAATCAGCCCAGTTCTCATTTCAACATGGCTCCAACTTGTGTTGATGTGGCTTGATGACGGGGACTGCTTATCATTATTTTGCAACACGCAACACAAAGACCACCTTAATGCACTGCCTCAAATATTCTTAAACTGAGTACTATGAGATATGCAAAATTGAATACAGTTTGTCATCAAGTTGTTTTTTTTTTTCCTAATCAGACATTTCATGATGATCTGAATCGTAAATGTTTAAGGAATTATGGTTCTGTTAGTTGTTGTTAATAGATACACTGATAGGTCAGGGGTAGCATTTTTGATAACTGATCCATCCTGAATTTAAGTGTGAGTGGAAAAGAGGATGCTGGAGGAGGACAAACACTTGTCAATTGATTTTTTTCTATTTGACAACCCAAAAGGTGTTCCTAATAAATCCTTAACTGTTGTCTGAGTAAATTATATGTCAATAAGAATAAAACCATTATAATCACACCTTTTACAGGGGTGCCTTACTTGAAAGTTGTACCGAAAACTGGTGGATGTCTACCACAATTCAGTGTAGGGAATAATGAGGCATCTTTAACCAGAGAGAAGTTCTTACTTACTGTGTGTATGTAGACACACAAGTAAACAGACGTTGACTGCCAAGGGTGTGGGATGTTAGCTAAGCTAGTTTGACCGGGTTCCGTGTGGATTCAAAGGCAAAGCCACAGTTGGGAGCTCAGTAAAACACTGAGCTTTTCAGCCCCGACCGAGGGATTCGGTGACAGGCGGGTGTCCTCTCGTTTCAGGGCTGCGGGTCAAACATCTGCTACCTGCCGTATCATCTGACGTTAGCCCCGACACGCTCCCCGACGGAGAAAACCCCACGTATATAGCATTTTGTCTGCGAGATTACACAGGATCGTGAACCCTCACAAAATGGTTGGTGACCATGTTTAAATGCGACACCAACCACACAGGTATACACGTTAACTGCTGTTGGATAAGTAACGCGAACAATCCACTGGGGCTCGACGGTTAATGGATTCCTCGAAGCTAGAATGTATGTGAATGTATCTGACGTCCTCGTATGTGCATACAGTGTGTACACGAGGACAACTGAAGCAGACACGGCCGCATGAAGAAACAAAAGACTCGGTTGTTTATCGAGGCTACAGGTCAGCCATCCCACATATGTCTCTCCACTACTTCGTGTAGCTTTTACTGTCGAGCTAACCGCTAATCGTGCCCATTCTGCTTTTACACGGTGAACAACGCCAGCGTTGAACGTTCTGCTCTGGTTTCACAACCGGATCGCCCGTCCACTCGTCCCGTGAAAGGTCGCGTGTCACAGCACGAGCAGGCTGTCAGCTGACGTTCACGGAAAAAACACGTTCGAGACATTAAAGACGCGCCCTGTTCACGGGAGCAAGCTAGCTCCTATTTGCCAATCCTGTTCAACCACAGAGCAATTAGCCTAGCATTATTTAGGACCGATTACACAGCAGATAGCATAAGCGCGTGTGTGTGCGCTGTAACCGAACACAACGGTGACGTTTTCACAGCTGGTGTCAAACTCACTATTCGGGATTCATGGTTTCACGCTGGATGTGTTTTTCAGTCGGTGACTCGACTCTTCCTTCCTACTCCGGCAAAAAGAAAGATAAGACTTGAAGGTCCGGGTCTCCGAGGCACTTAGAAGGCTGTAGTATCGTCTCCGCTGCTGCTCCCTAGTTTGAATTCAGTCTCTGCTCTTGCTTATGGCCTCAGTTCTAGTGGACATATCCGTGTTTCGTCGCGTTAGGTCTGTGTATTTAGGTCCGTTTTCTGCTTTTCTGTGTCCGCTGCTGACAAGAGGTTCAAGATGGCCGCGCAGGTGCGGTAGTGACGTGTGGTGACGTGGCACTACAGACAAGTCGCGAGCGCGTTCAGGTCCCGGAAAAAAAAAGTAGGAAAACCGTGGTACAACGTCCGTCTGTGTGAATAGAACGCCTGTCTAAACTGGAAACGGTGGTGCGTTCAATGACATGCGTCGAACACCCCGTTGTGTTGGACATGCGCACTTCGTTTTAATACGGGGATTTGTGACGTTTTCTGATTCTGCGATGTGTCCGGTGCACCGTCCTCCACCCAGTCTGCACAAGTGTTAGGTTTTACTTAGATTTAATAATACAGACACAAAAACATACTGCACAGTCGCAGAGATCACATATCTATACACAAAGACTGTTTAAACGTGCTTCAACATATGAAAGGTGGATATTTATGTGGCAAGGAGCAAATACTTATTTATGATTTAGTACTTAATTATAATTACAGACCTCCACATGCTGGACCTACAAACGGGGGACATGGATCAAAATAACAAGGATTTGCATATATACTTTATTATATTTATACAATTTAAAATCATTTATAAAACATTCAAAAGAGAGTTTGGAAATACTCAATTTATTACAATGAATATGATACTTACCCATAAGGATTATCATGTTAACCATGTCAGAAACAGATTAATTATTATGATTATTATTACAATAATGATGATGATGATGATGATGATGATTATTATTATAAATAATTCATAATTTGATAAATGTTAAAAGAAAGACTGTCATACAAAAATACAAAGCTCAATATTGGGATTTTAAGAATCGAAAATCAAATCTTTCAAAAATTGCAATTAATTTGATCATTTTCAACTGTGAAACTTTTCTAGTAACATATTTCATTGTACAGCTGTATGATATACAAAATACAAAATGTACAAAATATTATAAAAATAATACAAAAGAAAGTCACATAGATATTTTTGTTTCAGTGACTTGACTTTCAGATTTGGAATGAGGGCACACATGGCCAACCTTGTATGCCTGAAAAGGCCCCTGTGCTGTTTATACACAAAAAACCCCATCTCTGTCTCTCTTTTACTCACACACACACACACACACACACACACACACATACACACGTGCAATGCTAAATCAACATTCAGAATTGCTCTTTGTCACTTCTTATACCTGTTGAAACACTCGTATCCTTAAGGTAGCCACTCTCTACATCAACATCCTCATCTCTGGCTGCACAAGCACCCATAGGTGTAGGCAGGTAGACATTGTTCCATCTTTCTCCAGATTCTCTCTGGTGTTCCAGAGAGAAAGCTGCAGCAGCAGCAGCAGCTTCCAGCCCCTGGTTGATGTAACTGGCTTCCTGGCTGGCCTCCAGGACGGGCAGCTCCGACAGAAGACCTTTCAGTGTTTCACCCAGTTCCCTGAAGTCAGGCCTCTGATTCGGCTCCTTATCCCAGCAGCTCCACATGACATCATAACTGAGTTAGCGAGATGGAGCAAGGAGAGGCATGAGTCAGGGTGTGGTATGCGTAAAATACCTTTTAGCAATAGCTTAAAATCAAGCAATGTCAACGCTGGAAACCCTGAATTGTGAGTAGCTCAACGCAATTAATTTAGTCAAATCTATTTAATCTGATGGGGTAAAACTGCAGTATTAGTATCTGGCATTTCACTTTTCACTTGGCATTTCATTTTGATGTTTTCAGAGTTTTTATGAAAAATTGGGGGAAAAAAAGCATAATTTTGAGTTAAGTTTTAACTCTCTTCTTAACACTTTTTTACACATACCTGTACAAGCATACTTTATCTACCACATTTGTATTTGGTAATGATTTAGGACAAAAGACAACATTAACATTTTTGATAAAATGTATACATTATAAACCGATGATTACATTTGATATTCAGTCAAAACTAAGTTTAACTAACTCATTGAAAATAAAACGGTATCAAAGAAATGACTTTTGTAACATGTTTCCCTTTGTATTTAGGTCCTAATGAAACATGAAATGTTCAAGTTTACATTGTATGCAATAAAACATAAGCAGGTTTGATGTCCGTGAAGATTCTCAATCATCAATATCATGGTTATCCAAAAATTTAAAACTGCTGTGGGTTGTTATCAAGGCTGTGGATGTCACTTAATTCCTTGGTGCTCCTGGCTGTTGACAAAAGTCGTTTACATCAGTGGAGTCCCTTCAGGCTTAGTGCAAACAACCGTCATAATCAAGTCAGATCTCATTAGCATGTTTTAAGATATTTTACAGATTCACTTTTTTAGGCTGATCCAAGACAGAATTTTCACAAATCCTGTTTATCAGTTCTAATGTTCCTCTATTAAAAGTAAACATATATAATATATTAATATTTAAATTTAGCATCACTATATAAAACATTAAAGTGGTTGTCTAAGCTACCTTCAGAATACACTCTGATTAGGTGGCTCTGCCCACTACCATCCTCAGCTTTCTGTGCAGATTTTGAAACTAATCCAAAAACAAAATGATTGTGTCTCTGACACAGGAACTCACAGTTTCTGGTCACACTCCTCAGGTGGTTTGAGCCTATGTCCACACAGCAGCAAGTCCAGCAGCTCATGGTTATGGACTCCTGGATAAGGAGTCCTCCCGCGGGACACAATCTCCCACATGGTCACCCCAAATGACCACTGAGGGGATGAGGGCACAAAACAAAATGAGATCATTTGTTATCTTATCATTTATATGTAATTGGCAATATAAAACCAGACAATGCAAATATAATTTATTTCCAAACAACAAGTCATACCAAATTTATCAAAAACATTTCTCTCAAGGACATTTTGTGTCATTTTAGATAGTTCTATCACACTGATATATATCCAGGAGCTTATTTTCAAGAAAGATTGGGTGTTTCATCCATTTTTGATCATTATAACCATTATTGACAGCTGACACTGACTCACGATTGGTCGATTGGTGGGACCTTGTTTCGTAAAATGACTTTATTGAAAACAAACAAGAACAAATATGTTGAAGCTCATGATGTTGAAGTTCCACAGAATGCTGAACTCACCACATCACTTTTGGTGGTGTACAAAGACTCAGACAGGCTCTCCATGGACATCCACTTGACTGGCACACGCATAGCTTCTTTCTGACGATAGTAATTGCCGCTGTAGATTTGCTTGGACATGCCAAAGTCAGCCACACACACCCTAAGATCATCCCCCAGCCTTGTGTGAAAAGAGCATGCAAATTAAAACGAGCATTTGCATGATAAGTAAGGCATGATTAGGCAATACTCTAGACTGAGATCACATTTGTCAAAACACACACAACCTCAGTCACAGTCCCTGAAACTATATGTAGCTTCCCTTCAGGATACAAGCCATGGTTGAATACCAATAGCTGAAGACAGAGACACAGTCAGAGATAAACAAGGAAGCCTTGATTTCAAGTCCCCACCCTCCCGCTGTATTGTTTCTTCCCCTCAGTGTCTCCCTCTAATGGACTTACATGCAGTTGCGTGCAGCCAAGTCCCTGTGCAGAAACCCCTGTGAGCTCAAGTAGCTCATCCCTGCTGCAATATCAATCATGAAGCGCAGGAGACTCTGATGGGGCACAAACTGGTAGAGTAGGGTAGAGAAGGGTGTATTCTGTTATTTAGTTAAAATTTTTGAACATGAAAATATGCAGCACTTTGTGGGTATTTTTAATGAAGCTGTGCAAAAATGAAGAGCTCAACTATTAATATTAATTACCTATTACTTTGGTGTCACTTAAGGTGCATTTTTATAACATTTGATCACACAGATTTAGATAGATGAATGATCAGATAGTGAAAGAATTAGGAGCTATGCCTCTGTGTGTGATTCTGCAGATTGTTGTGTATTGTTGTCCTCCTTCCACATCATCATTTAGTCTATTACTTAGTTGACACAAATTGGAAAAAGTGTGAACTGTTGTAAAATAAATATTTCTTGTAAGTTTCATGTTTAATGTCATCATGTGGAAAAATTCTAACATATTTGGGACAAGTATTCTGCCCCCTTCATCTCTATCAGACATGTACAAATACTTTAAACATTGACACACTTCCATTAAATTAAAAACTGTTTATTTTAATCAATGTTGTAAATACTGTTATTTTGTTAATGTACTTTATTGCACTTCTGTCAGAGAGGGATCCCTCACATGTGGCTCTTTCTGAAGTTTCTATATCTATTTACTCTTGTTGAGGGTTAAGGACAGAGGATGTCTCACCTTGTTAAGCCCTAAGAGACAAATTGTGATTTGAAATTATCGGATGTACAAATACATCTTGACTGATTTATTGATTGATTGACAAATATTAAAGTTTTCTCGTGTGTGTCTTGTGTGCATATGCCGACATACATGCAACAATATGCTCCATCTACATGCATGTACTGACTGAAACTCACTATTGATATATCACCATAGCGTGTTGCGATAAGGAAGCGACGCAGGTCTCCATGTTTCAGGTATGGCAGTATGACGAGGGGAACAGGCAGAGGAGAGTCCTGCTCCCTCTGTAAAGTGACCCCTGCAGGATAAAACACACATCTCTCACAAAGTTGATGCTGCAGCAGCAGAAAAGAGAAGAGTCTGTGGGTTGAGCCTCTACAATCAGTTACAAACAAACATCAGATTTACTGTAGTTCCCAAAGCTTGAATGGCAGTGGAAGTGGCAACAGTGCCAGCTCATAGGGGTTTCAGAAAACATTGTTTTTGAACGAGGATTCCAAATATTTTACAATGTGAGCTCAGCATAATCTTCAACATGAGTTGCAAGGTTAGCAGTTTTAAGAAGCAACCTTCTGGTAAAATGTTCCAAAGGCCACCCATGTGCTCCCTATATATGTGTACTATGACTAGATTAGGCTAACATAGATTCATGGTTCTTGTGTTTTGAACCATTTAACACTCTAAGATCACTGTTGTTACCCTCATGGACTTGATTTACCAAATTTCAGCTCATTGCTTTGGGGTGGTCATCTTGGTGACAACCAGCTAATTCACTGACCAGCATGAAATACAGGGCT